CCAAAAACATGACTGTTAGGTTAATTGGTTTCTCTAAATTCTCCTTAGGTGTGCATGAATGGTTGTTTGTCCCGTTTGTCTCTTTGTGTTGCCCTGCGATGGACTGGCGACTTGTCCAGGGTGAACCCCGCCTCTCTCCCATAGACAGCTGGAGATAGGCACCAGCACCCCCCACGACCCCACTTGGGATAAAGTGTGACGGAAAATGGATAGACTATTGTTTTAATATCCATTTTCATAATCATGTACAGTAGATCAACACATATCTGCAATACAGGAAGGGCATGTTATTATATGTTTCCTATTGTACATAAAGTGTGTCTTGGTGAATAATGATGGGTGGCAAGTCATATTTATATTCCACGTAAATAAAAAAGAAGTCTTGCATGACTTATTCAAAGTTACTGATGAATTGTGTTGTTAGATTTGTATTTTTTTCCCACTTAACAGATAATCAACTTCAGTAATAGGATGGTAGGACAATAAAATATTCAATATTATATATTGTGCTTAAAGAATATCCATGGTATTCCTCAAACACATTGACATCAGCCCCTCCACCGGTTGGCCCTGCTGTTTGCCCCACCTCTTCCTCCTGCATGCACTTTAACCCTCCTGCTTTGGTATATATAGTATGTGAGACTATTAGAGTTCTCCTGGCAGCCATCATGAAGGGTACTGTCTCGATCTGCTGTTTCCTCGCCCTGCTGCTTTTGCAGGCCACTGCAGGTAAGACTTAGATAAAGATCTGTTTTTTTTTTTTTTTTTTTCTTCTATTAAACAGAGAATGCATTTATTTCACGATGTAAAATAGTGCCTTACTGCTGGTTGGTGGATGAATTAAAAGAATATTTGTGGCTTTAGAGGTTGATGTGAAATAAATTTACAGAAAGTGAAACGAGAAGCTGAACTGTTTGTGTGGAATTTTGTTTCCTGTTGAGCTGAGTTGGGATAAAAACTACATAAATGCAACCCTGTTGGAGATGAGCTGATGTTCATTCAAAACAAATGTATTATTGAATAGGTTATCTGAAGTGAAAGTCTGATTCTATATTTATTTTATTCCCATTGTGGTTGGTTTAAAGAAGGAACATGAGGACTGATTAGCCGTGGCTGTGGCCTGACTCTCAGCTGTCCAAAGGCATGGCACCAGCTGATGGAAAGTCTTAGTCTAAGGAGAAGCCATGTGGCGAGCTTTAATAGACACTAATTTGTTCCTCTCTCCAGTTCAAAAAGTGTTTATAAGCAATGAGAAATCTTTTTTAGTGGGATGTCTTTTTTATTCAGTAGTAATATTCTAATCTAGATTATGTGGAGTGACTCCTTTTCTAACTCTGCTACCAGGGCAGACTTTCTAAACCTGCAGCGCTCTCTAGGTCTCTACTGGTGTAGTTATTGTTACCCTTGTCTGTCACCCCTGCCCGTCCTTGGGGTGCCGTTTCTCCTTCCACAGTCGGTAACCAGGCTTCTATATTCCAGGCTTGTCAGGTGCCTAAGATTGGAAGACCTCCTGAAACTCAACACTGTCAGCCACAGTCCCTCCCTACCTCCCCTTTGCATCATGGTCCACTTTAGATATGCTGTGCAGCTGCTGTCACTCTGCACTGTCACAATCACAATTTATTCCCAGCAACTGGCCTTTTAGGGACATGCTTTCTCCAGATAGGAGGGGCTGGACGGTGGAGGCCTCTCTTTCTATAGGCCCTCGCAGGTGTGTTTTTCGGTTTCTCACAAGCTAAATTAAATGCTGTATAATTTAAACATTTAGGGTAATCATGAATGAGAAAAGGATTTATTTGTTATGCACATAGCTGAGGCTAAAGTGCAACCAAAAACTCAATGATGTACTCTTTACTTTTTTTTTTTTTGCACAATTTTTTCTCCTTTTATTGAACCTTTTTGTGTGCAGAGACGTCACTAACCTACACAGCATGTACTGTGGTGAAACAACTCCACAGCACAATCTCCACCATGCTTACCATTAGGTAAAGTTTTATTAGTAGGATTATTATTAATCTTTAGACTACTAAAAATTGGTTTTAAAAGAATTACCTTGATGAAAATTCATTAATTTGTGTTTTTGCTTTAGTCAGCTTTAAAACTAATGAGAATAAAATTTAAGAAAATAAAGAAAAAAAATCTACAAAAAAAGTTAATGAAAAATGCCTCAATGTAGATTTTAAAAGTCAATATGAATCAAGATTATAAAAAAAAAACATTGCGAAGCACTAATTGCTAAGCACGGTGCAGCTAAAAGGCTAATCTTAAATGAACAGAGTTGCTCTCCTGTGTGAACTAAAGTGTTTACTACAATCTATTGAAGTCAACAATATTATACAGCATCATTGTACCACCCTTCAATTTTTTATTTAATGCTGTGAAAGAGTTTTCAATTCAGTCTGGTCTTATTGTTTTATCTTTTAAAATGGCCGCTCATGAAGAGTGAAAAGGCTTCCTTTTGGCTTCTTGTTTGAGCCAACAAATTATTCCTCTGTTATAACTCAATCTGTGATTAAATCTATGACAGTATATATTCAAAATCCTGGTGGAAAGAACTAACTCTACAGTTTTTCTTTTCCATTTGTACCACTGGGATCAAATCTTAGATGATCTAATCTCTTTTGGTACATTGCTCAGATCATACATCTCAACTTTTTAAATACAGTAGGTAACACATCTATAAATTAAAAAGCCTTATTTGGTCAGATTGTTTTTAAATGAAAAAAAGAAAATCGTCTCATATCTAGCATTAAATATAAAATTTTTCTGATCTAGATGCTTAAGAAAAGTCAGAATATAAAGAGAGTGATGTGCAGATCTATTTGCCACCTGTGCAAAACTGGTCTCATTGATAGTATTTTCTACAAAATGCAGTTCCAAATCCTATGAAATTCTTTTTAAGAAGCATGTAGTGCTGAACATTTATTCCATACTTTCTATTATTACGGACATGTACAGGCATTTATAACTCCTAAGCGCTGTGTGTTTATAGCAGGATGCAACACTATCTGTCCAAGAAAGACATAGAAAGTTAAAGTAGTCTCTAAGTGATATGTGACTCCCTCTAATTGCACATGGCATGTCTGGGACATCCCTGACAGTGGGAAAAAATAACAGATGCACTATGACATTGCGGCACTTCTTAAGAGTAGCACCTAAATCCCAAGGGTTAAACAGACTTTAGTGTCTTTCTATGAGCAGTAAAAAAATGCAGAACCCCCCTTTTACCCTTTGATCTGGCTTTTTTTTTGTTTTACATCCTGTTAAAGTGGGTGTTTTACTAAATATATGGGAACATATAATAGCATCACCTACATTTTGGGTAAGAAGAGAGATTAATGGTGTTCCCCAGAATAGTCTGTAAGGTAATATTGTATCTGTAGTAGAGAGATGCTTTATAACACACCATCTACAGTGGCTTTAGTTCAAGTCTAAATAATCTACAGATATTATCAATATAGAGCAGTTTTGATGTTTTTTGTGTTCATTTAAAATGAAAGAAGTTTGGTTTCGGGCCCCAGAGGGAATAGCTGTCATTCTTCAGGATCTACTTGTTATGTTTTATACTAATGGGGGAGCTTTGTAAAGCTATATCCTGGAATTAACTTGAAATGTTATCAATATTCCTTTGGTTTGCTTTAAGTAAGATATTAAGTAAGATATCTGCCTGGTCCAGCCTGTTTTGTGTGGTACTGTAATGTCTGTGGGATGTTGATGTCTCTGCGTCTCCATACTGACAGTGGACACCCTAAAATAGGCAGCAGTCATTCTGCCTCCTCCTCCTCTGTCCATCTTTTGACCCATTGTGAGTCTATTTATGACTCGGAGGGGAGCACTGGCTTCCCAAGCCGTGCCACCTGTTGCCATTTGTGACGTCTTCTCAACACATCAAGCTCAAACTCTACTAAGTGTGCCCACATCTGACACTTATTGAAGGAAAAGTCATGTTCATTTCCAGGCTTACAAGATCTTTTTTTTAAATGAAACAAGATTTGTTTTAATCAATTAGGATGAAACATTTAGAACCCCACTTTAGTTAGAATTGAAATAAAGTCAATGTTCTTCCACTGAGGTTTCCAGTGCAACATCTTGACCTTTAATAAGTGTCTCAATCCCTCAGCGCTCAAGTTAAATCCTTTAACCTGCTCTTTCAGCTCTTATCATGTTCATTTTAATTAAATTTACCTCCCTGTGCTGTGAGCGAAACGCGATCCTGGGCCTTCATATAGATAGAACCACTTAACCGCTTAACGTTTACTACGTAAATACACATGGAAGAGATTTAATCATGTTTTTGCGTGACTTTTTGTCTCTACACACTCAAGTTTGGTATTTTTCATTTCGTTGCAGAAGTATTTATGGTACTCCAACTTTTTCTCCTTTTTGCAACAACAGAAGTATGTTTTTATGTTGGTTGTATGTGATAAAGAAGCAAAAATTGGTGCAAAATTGCAAAGTGACCAAAGAGAGATCTATACGGCAAAAAATTTTATTTGGTAAATGCTATATTCATTTGCTTTCAGTTAGTGTTTTTCTCTTATAGCTTTAAATTAAATCCAATACAAATTGTTTCCTTTGGAGGCCACCTGTTCAGTTAACAGGGATAAAAGTGTGCAAATCTGGTTCTGTGTTATTAGAGAAAAACCTTTATTAAAGGAAAAACCCAAAGAATGCTCCATTTTTCTTTTAGCACAGGCCAGGGAACAGAGCAAACATCAGGATTAAGATGTTTAGATGAGACCACGATTAAAAGGTGCCTGATAAACCAACATTGAACATCACCTCTAACACCCCATCACCACCTTGAAACACATTGGAAAGTTTTTCTGGCAATGGCAAAGTCAGGGAAGCTGTCTAGAGGTAAAAGGCAATTCCGAAAGAACATTTCTTAAAAGCTGATAAGGACTTGATACTTAAAGCTTCACTTTCCCCTTAATACAAACCTTTAACATTTAGCCAGAGCAACAATTCAGTATAGATTAAAGCCTATTCATTTGTTAAAATAGTCTAATCATAGTTCAAAGCTGAATTTGATTAAGATTTGGTGGCAAGACTAAATGGTTAAAGCGTTACCAATGGTTTTAAGCAATCCTTACATTCATGCACTGCTATTTGATGGTATATTATATAAACATTCAATCACAATTTTCAATATTTTGGTTGTTTCACTTGAAAATAGGAAATGGTTCCTAGTATGATATTTGAAATAACATGATTTTGTTTTTGTTTAGACAACTTTCCTCAAAAAAGTTCTCTTTACCATTATTCCTTATTTCACTGTGTCCTGACTGAACGGTCCCTTAATGAGGTATGACTCCAAGTCACCGAGCAGTAATAGTACTTAATCAGCAGCATTCCTGCAGAATGTGCCCATGCCATCCGAGTGTTTCTCCAAACTGACCCAGCGTTGTGTGGCAACGGGCTCAACGAGGCGCAGATGTCCAGGGGGCTCAGCTCCTCTGGCGCCTCCAGGGTTAATTCTGTACTATGATACCAAGACTGCCCCCATACTGCTGCACAACATCTCTTCTGTGATCTTTGGGGAGTCTCCATCGAGTATTGACTGCTTCAGGAAGGTGCTAACAAGTTCACAGCAATTTGGCACACTCTAGAAGCTAGCGTTAAAAGACACCAACCCTGAGTGACGAGGCAAATTGGAGAAGCTTTAGTTACCGGTATGCTTGAAGGGTTCGGTCACAGATGCTGAGGAATCAGAAGACTCAGCTTAA